CTGTTCAAATTCATTTTCTTAAGTGCTCTAACAGTAAAATATTTAATGGTTTTTATTTTCTTTTATTGATTTTATTCTCCCCTAACTCTATAAATAGAGAGTTCTTCCTCCATTCCAAAACACATAAAAAAGAAGTCTTTTCTCATTCTCCTTTCTTCTTTTCCTCTTCTAAAAATATTCTGGTTTTATTTTATACTCTTTTTTAGAGATCCTTGCATGTTCTGAGATCCTCAGAGATGTTATGAGAAGTTCTTGTTGTAACCTGGGGGACTTGTGCAATACACCACAGATAAGTCCTTAAGGACAGTAAATCTACAAACCTCAGGAAATTTTATTCGTGTTTCTGTCAACTTTTTACAACACCAACCATAAAGTGATAGTGAGCACAAGTAATAATAGAACCCCAAACATGATTGAAAACCGACACCACAAACAGAAAAACATCATATATAGCATCATTAAACCAAAAGGAATAACATCAATTTAACATGGCAATCTGCACTAACACATGACAATAGCATGACTAAAATTACAAAGCATCACAATTCAAACTACACATCTTGTCATTCACACATAAACATTAAAGGTAAGCTCCCCTTACATCTCTTCTCGCAAAATCTTCAGCCTCTGCCTACAATACGACTCTCGTTTCCCTACCCTTTTGCTGTAAACAAAAGCACAAATAATCTTTCTCTAGACTCACAGCTCACTGTTCACTCAGGTTTTTTCTGATTTATGGTGCTAGGTTTCTCAATAAGAAAAAACATATTAATATCCTACGTTGCAAACCTTGAACCTACCATCAGCTATTATCTCCTAATCTTTCCAGAATAATTTTGTTTTAATTAGAGTTCAATTCTTATTAAGGATTTCCTTTTCTTGCTCTCAATTACATTAAAACAAAAATATAATGATATCTCCTTGATTGCACGTTATAAATTATAATTCTTCATTACCTCATTTAGATCGGGCTACGGTTATGTCCAAGTGAACCTAAGCCGTCCTCATCCACAAAAAGAAAATGTGACAGAAAATAAAAATACACACCTAAGCTCTAGCCAAGGTTCAAACCCTTAACCTCAAGTCTCACTTTATACACCAAACCTCTCAAGATATCACAATTAACTGTGGTATAACCATAGCCAACATATGATATAATCATACACATACATAACATATCAAATAAACCATAATTAAAATAAATAAATGCATTTTATGCATACCATAAGAATTGAACACATGACCACCAATCCATAACAAAGAGCTCTACCATTTATGCTACACTTCACTTTTGTTAAACATATAATCTCTTATTGTAATGAACTTGTTCAACATACATTACATCTTTTCATACCTTTTTTTCTTGGTCTTACATCTGGCGACAACAACTCCTCTATATCAAGATTCATTTTCAATGCTTATTGTAATTCCTCACTTTGTTTCCAAAGTTCCTCTTATGCTAACTTGGCAGCATATGCTCTTTGTTGGTTTGCCTTTGATTGTCCCCTTAATTCCTCCACTATCCACGTGAATTGCTTTATTTGTCCATGAGCTAACATTAAGTATGTTTGATCGTCACTTTGCTACAACTAAAGTTTCTTATAGTTGTGGGAATAATCACTAAAAGATTCATTGTTGTCACTTATCTGATTTGATGTTGTTTATTTATATGTCACATACAAATTATCTGTAGATAATTATATGTGAATTTATCTGTAGAATTACTTACGGATTTATCTGTAGGTACATACGAATATTACCTATGGATTAATTTGTGTGTCATTATTTATGGATAAATCTGGACATAATTACCTATGAATAAATTTGTAGGTAATTTTCATATGCTGTAAAATAGTCATAGGAAAGTTACCTACAAATTATTTTCTGTAGGTAATTCGTAGGTAAAATTACCTTACTTAGCCCAAAAACACTCAAAAGCATGTATATATTATGTCTATTTCGCTCTTCTTAGTTAATACTATATGTTTGATCTTCCTAAGGTTCTTTGTGTCTTCAATTGTTCTCTTTCCCTTATATGCCATTTGTCAACCTATTCATTTGCCCGTAGTGGGGAAGTTATTGTGCATAAATGAGTATTTTATATAACTATTTCCTGTCTTGGACTTACTAAGGTTGTTGTGGGAAATTTGGATTTAAACCATTGAGGTTGAGGTGAACAAACTCGACTCAAGTCTTCTGAATCCTTACAAATTGAACCTTTTATCAGGATATCATAAATATCCCTATGTTGACTTCACGGATCACACATATATATATCT